ACACAAAAATATCATCCACATAACGCCTCACAAAACACATGCTAAAGCATTTCTGGGACTGTAAACAGATTTTTTTTTTTAGGGGTGAAGTGGTTTTTTGCTTTTTAGAGTGAGTCCTTCGTTCCGGTTTGGAGATATTCTTTCTTTATTCTTTATTCAATGATTACCCCGCAGTGCCCGAGGGCGTTACAGCAGGGGGGGTTACAAGGATGAAAAGAACACGTCTTCATTGAAACAGCACACTTGCTCTTCAGACAGCCGATTCCACTGTGCAATTGTTCGTACAAAAAAGGAGTTTGCAAACATGCATGTCCTAGCGCGGTACTCTCTAATTTTAAGACTATGATCATTACGACTAGAAACATAATAGGGTTCTTTTAAGTAAGTCTCGCTATTTATTCCCGTTTTATTTTTAACTATTGAGTATAAAAATTTTAGTCGCAGTTTTTCCCGACGTACGGAAAGTGGTTCCCAGTTTAACATTTTTTTCATTTCTGTACAACTTTCTTTCCTCCCGTATCGTCCAAGAACAAACCTAGCCGCCCTGTTTTGTATTTTCTCCAGCTTATCTATCAACGTTTTTTGGGCTGGATCCCAGACAGCACATGCATACTCTAAAATGGGTCTAACACATGTTAAATAAGCAGTTGTCTTTAAGTTAGGTTGTGAGCATTTTAAGTTACGTTGGATAAAATTCATTGCCCTGCCAGCTTTTAAGACTACTTCCTCTATGTGGGCATTCCATGAACAGTCAGATGACAATATGACACCCAAGTATTTGTAAGTAAGTTCCTTGGTTATAGGGTTATTATTTATAAAATACTGAGATTCAATTTGTTTCCTTTTCTTTGTAAAACAAAGGTTAACACACTTTTTGTGATTTAAATTCATTTTCCACGTAGAGCACCAACTTTGAATACGATCAAGGTCTGCTTGCAACTGGGCGACATCATCTGAACTCTTAATCTTTCTATACACTACACAATCATCAGCAAAAAGTCGAATACAAGAGGAAATTCCAACAGAAATATCATTAATATAAATTAAAAACAAAAGTGGACCCAGGACAGAGCCCTGTGGAACTCCTGATGTTACATCAACGTAATCAGATTTCTTGCCATTCAGTACTACACATTGACGACGCTGGAACAAGTAATTTTCTATCCATCTAAGCACAGCCGAGTCTAGATTTAACATTCTTAGTTTGTTGAGAAGAAGTGAGTGTGAGACCGTGTCAAACGCTTTTCTAAAATCCAAGAATATACAATCTATTTGCCCTCCCTCATCGACATCAGATGCAAGGTCATGATAAAATTCAACAAGTTGCGTAGTACATGAAAACCCCTTACGAAAACCATGTTGTTCATTAATCAGCAAGTTGTTTCTTATCATATGACCGATTACCTCTGAATATAAAATATGTTCGATGACTTTGCATGAGACGGAAGTTAATGAAATGGGCCTATAATTTACGACGTCTTTTTTTGGCCCCCCCTTATGGATAGGGACGACATGAGCTACCTTCCAGTCATCTGGCAAAAGTCCTGTGTCCAGTGACTTGGAAAAAATTAAATAAAGGTAAACCGAAATTGGGTAAGCACATCGCTTTAGTACACGCGGAGAAATGCCATCCGGTCCAGTTGCTTTTGTTTCATCTATGTTCTTTAACGCCTTCTCAATACCACTAATGCCAAGCTCAACTGGCTGCATTAATTCCACCGTACTAACAGTGGATGGATTAACATAGTTGTGTTTGGGCAAAAAGACAGACCGAAAGTAATTATTGAAGCACGTTGCTTTTTCTGTATCATCCGAAACTGTCTGTTGATTATATGTAATTTCACTTATTCCTACTGCATCCGATCCACATCCCTTTAAATACTTCCAGAAAAGCTTGGGGTTGGTTTTTAATCTGTCATTGAGTGTATTAAGATATTGTTCCTTAGCTCCCTTTATGCTCCTTTTATATTCACGCGTAAGCTCAGCCAGTTTTTCAAGGTGATTACTACTTTTGGTCTTCTTATATCTATCAAATGCTCTCCTTCGCTTTTTAATTATCCTAAGAGTACTTGAAGTTACCCATGGTTTTCTTCGTTTTTTTAGCTTTCTAGAATCTATGCAGGGAACATATTTATCCGTTAATTGAAGCAACATTTTCTTGAAAACATCCCATAAATTATGGACATCATATTCCTCAGAAAGACACTCAAATACGGGAAGGCGGTCAAGAAGCTCTTCAGAAAACCCAGAGTAATTGCCCTTCTCAAAGAAAAAGACTTTCCTCGATTCGCATGAATTTACTCGTTTGATTTCAGTTTGGATATTTGCCACAACAGCGTGATGGTCACTGATACCAGGGATAATATTAACGGTGTTAATAAGATGGGGAGAGCTACAAAACAAGAGGTCTAAAATGTGATTATTCCTTGTTGGTTCACTCACATACTGCTGAAGCCCAAACGTATCCACAATGTTTTTCATTTCAAGATTATTTCGGCTACCAATCGTGCATACACAAGTGCCATCCCTCCACTCTAAGTCAGGCAAATTAAAGTCTCCCGCAAGGAGAATAATTTGGTTTGAGGCCTCAGAAAGAATGTCGTATAGCGATCGGATTATACTAAGATCCGAATTCGGTGGTCGGTAATACGATCCAAGAACATAGGAAGAGCTACCAGGTAACGTGACTGTACACCAGATTGATTCAATAGCGTCATGACCAAGTTCGAGTGGGGATGATCTCAGCGATGAATGAACCAACAAGAAAACGCCCCCGCCGAGGCGTGACCTATCTTTTCGATAAGAAACAAACCCTTTCGGAAAGACTTCGCTATCACTTATGGAAGCGTCTAGCCATGATTCGGTTCCGAACACGATATCAGCCTTTACTGAGTCGATTAAGCCTGCCAATTCGTCAACTTTATTTACGATGCTTCTACAGTTTATTACAACAGAAACTAGGTCACGATGAACGCGCTTTTCTTTTTTTCCTTTTTTCGTGGGGCGTCAGTCTTTTTTGACAGGAACAACTTGTTCTATTTCCGTATCCCATGTAAACACTTTATCATTTACGATGAGCTTATCAAAGTTTAGCTTTACACGGTTGCCACTATCCGCTTTTTTTGTTTTAGCATATTCCCAAAGTTTCTTTCGAATTTCACGGGTTTTCGGCGAGTAATCTTGGTCTACACTGTAGTTTGATCCCTTGAACTTTTTGGCGTTAGACAGAATATCCTGTTTTTCCTTGTAGGAGGCAAAATTAACGATGATTGGTCGTTTAAAGTTCACATTATAGCGACCTACACGGTGCGCCCTTTGCACCGTTTTTAGGTCCACACCGAGCTTGTCTTTACAGATACTTTTAATGAGATTTTCCGATTCATTCCATGTTTCTTTGTTATTCGTGTCATCCACACCATAGAAAACAAGGTTTTGCCTACGACTTCTGTTTTCTAGATCAACATTCCTGTTTTCCAATTCGTTAATTTGTCTTGCCAAGAGCTCAATTAGCTTTGCTTGTTCTGTTACTAATTGATTAACGACCCCGATTTTCCCCTCCGTACCAACAAGCTTCTTATTTATTTCCTCGATCATGTTTTCATGCTTCTTAAACCTACTGTCGATAGCGTCCAGCTTACTCATAATGCAAGCCTGACCGCTCTGCAAACTTTTAAGAAGGTCAATTTCTACTGCGTCAAGGGGGCCAGGGTTAAGTTCTACATCCCCGGAAAGTAGCAACAAGAGAAACAGGTAAAGTACTCGATGTGCAAAGAGGCGAAAATATTTGCGAGATATACGCAGTCTCAATCGTCTGCCACAGAAGGTATCAGCACTTGACGTGGGAGGAGCCGGCAACGCAAACAGGGACTTTCGAACACAGATAGGACTGTAAGGACTAACCTGCGTGAACAACAGTAGTGTTAGCTGCATGTCGCCAAGCGTGCCGGCTCCAAATCCCACGCAGTCAAAGTGCCAGTTCTCTTTGTGTTTGCGGAGATGGTTGTCCTTTGTACTCAAGTTTTGGGTTTTGTTGGTTCGTGGGTGTAGTGTCAGTGACACACAAAGAGAAAAAAGAAGGAAAGGGAAAAGGAAAAGTTTTTCTTTCCGGAGAAGTGGATGGTTTGCCCCTGTTCGTAGTAGTGCTGGAGGGGGCGTCCCCTTGCATTGTTGTCCCTGTTTTTCTTTCTTTTTTTTTTTCTCCTGGAGTGTTGTGTCTTTGAAAGGGGCATGTTGAGTGTTTGGGTGACCTTGTGGTTGTGAGTATATCAGGATGTGGGACTAAATAAATCTTTTAGCTGCGTTTGAGACATTCTCTTCTTCACTTGTCTCTGTCCCTTCTACTTTTAAGTTTCAGTTTCTACCCCAGTCTCGGGTTAAGTTCCATCATGGTAGACACCTTGATATTCCTTTCTACTAGCTCAGATCACGTTCCATTAAGCCCCGAATGACCCTTTTGCGCAGCCGCAGTAACCATGGCCAGGCGTCGCGACACGAGAAATTACCGACTGCCACAGGGCCATAGTTTGCAAAAGCTAGAGAGCTACGGCCAGGGGTAGAATGTTGTAGCCTAGTCCAAGCCAAGATTTTTCAGTAACGTCAAGGGTTTAGGCAGAAGAATCCTCGAGCCAATGTTCACACAAATAAAGAGGTGGGTCGATCCCGGAGGCATTGCATACCGGCGGTATCGCACTGCCTCTGGGACTGACAAAAGTTTCTCACTCAGCGCCGTATGTTCTCACTCAGCATGTGTGCATATTTTATTACCTTCTTAGAGCCCATTTTAGGTAACATGCTTTTTGAATGATACAAATATTTTCTGCAAGCCGAGAGATTTGAATAATCGAGGCTCTACCGTATAGCAGTTGATGAACCTTTCAAAAACTGGTGCTAACTCCAGCTAGAGGGCAGACTCCAGTCAGCAGTGGTATTATGAAGCGGTGACTCCAGCAAAAGTAACATGCGAGATTACAGAAAGAGCAAAGAACTGAGACGCAACTCACCTTCCCGAAATGCCCTCTCCCCAGCACGCTGATGAATTCAAAGCTGTCCAGCGTTAAGGCTCCCTTGACACTGCAGCAGAAAACAACGTAACAATAAACATTGTTTGCAATAAATATCTTTCACGGAGGTCGGGTCCAATCTGATGACATGTGTAATTACAGTTCGCTACAATTAAGGCAAGACACTGGTTCTAAAATCGACTTTTTTGTTTATTAATGGATTATAATGAAAATCAGTGTGTATATCTGTTTTGGCTTCCTCTTTTCAAATATTCAATTAGTTCTGCAATATCTCAATTACTTTTTGAGTTACGAAGAAAATAATGAAGCCTAATTAGGTCATTTCTTACGACTCATTAAGGAACTTTCTAATACAAATTTTTTTGCATAAGTGATATGGATTTGTAGCTAAAGACCTGCCATGCAAGATGATGCTATTTATATTTTTGTAAAGATAGATCATTGTATAAAACTAGTCTAATTAGGTCAAGTACACTATTTACAAAGCCTAACGAGGTCCCATTATCACTAATAATAAAATTTCGGGCCCATACTGTCATACAAAAATAGCATCACCCTGCAGTTCACTTCTTTCTGAATCCAACGGTATAAAGTTTATAGAAATCCTTGAAGAATAATCTCATGAAAACAACCGTAAGGCTAGGCATGTAGACGAAAAATGCGAAGCTGAGAAAATTGCAGTTGAAGTTTTGACACTCATTGCATAAAATTGAGTAAGGGATCCCATGCAATAATGTTCAGCAATATGAAGCATAGTTCTATCTGAACAAATTGAGATGAAAAATTCTGCGATCCGTTCACAAGAACCTTTAAAAAATAATATAAAACTGAGAAATGATGTCTGCAATGTAAAATAAAGTTATAAAAGAATGAGTAGACTCTATAAGGGACAACGGGAGGAGGCACTAAGGGTTGCACGTTCCAAAAGCAGATTTTGTTTGGCCCTGAAAAGGGCCTTTGTTCATGTAGCACTCGAAAGGGGAGCCCCCTCACAGCTGTCCAGAACTGTAGTCCCCAGCTGTTCCAGTCCGGTGTTGCCTGGAGAACCTCTGTTTTGCATTGCTGCTGCTCTGGTGGGCAGCGTTGGCCTTACGCAAACGCAGATTGTCCTTCTCCATGCTGCAGCGTACGAGGCAGTCACCGGCAGCATAGCCCAGGCTCGCAGCAACGGACTCGCTCATTGCCCGCCTGCCCTGATTGTAGACGGCAACAGCTTCGGCAGCAGCCCTCTTGACGCTGTCCAGGGAGGCATTGGCGTTCTTCGAGGTTTGCGTCCAGATGACCGAATGCAGGCTCTCGCTGGCATTTTGCGTCTTGCCTTCGCTGCACCGTGCCAGAAGGTTTTCATCGCTGAGCCTTGCAAACACTGGCTCGAGGGCGGACCACACACAATCTGGAAGAGGGTTCTTGTGCGCAGGTGGACACTCGCCATTTGCCAGAGCTCTGTTGAATTTGCACCACGACTCAGCTCCGTCGGGGCACTTGCTGTGGTCTGGGGCACTGTCTGTAGACGTCATGTGCAAGAGGGTGGCTTCCACTGCCCTCTTCATCCCTGGCACATCGTTACTGTTGCTCCTAAGGGCATAGCTGTAGTAGTTTTGAATCTTCTTGATTCGGTCCTGCGTCAGTCTGCCCTTTCCGCCGAGTGCTTCACCCTGGGCTTTCTTTTTCTCAAGGAGGTTACGCAACGCAGCCCCCATCCGCTTGTGCACATGACTGATGCAGTCCTTTTTCTCGACCTTGACGAAGCCGTAGACTTTTGCCTCGGTCAACGCATGAAAGGCTCGGCTATCTCCATCCGAGAGAACTGTGGTGTACCTCAGTCCGTGCTTGGCCAGGGATCTTTGAAACATGGTCAATGCAGCCTCCACTTCCATCCGACCTGAATTGCAATCTATGTTCCTCTGGCACTCGTGGGCTGCATACCAGTCGCCGTACCCCTCTTCCTCCGGCTCCGGTCCCAGGGCACACCCAAGGCAAAAGTTGGAGTACACCACATGGTCAAGAACTAGGCCGGAATACAGCTCGACAATGCAGCCCACACCAATGTGGGAGCTGCGTCCTCTCGTCATCCAAGATCCGTCAAAGATCACGTCGATGTTGCCGACAGGGTTCAAGAAGTCTGCATACAGTCCCTTGACAACTTCTGAGCTGGCAGCTTCACTTGCGCTTGCTGACTTTTCGCAGGCTTGCACATGGGTCTTCAGGTGTCCCTGGAAGGTCTTGTGATGCAGGCCGCGGTGTGACAAGCTCATGGACGCACAGAAGTCTGCGAGGGCAGCGACTCCTTTCCCAATTGACTGAATTCCCTTCATTGCCCTCATGTTCACTTCGAAAGGAGTGATCTTCGCCGTTCCGGCAACTCTTGGTGAAGAAAACTGCTTCTTCTCGAACTCGCATGTGGCACAGACGAGCAGAAGCTTGACTGCCAAGCCATACTCTTTGTCCGTGGCCTTGCTAAGTGTCAGGGTTCCCGCACCGCAGCTTCCGCACTTCGCCTGCGCGAAGAGGTCGTTGAGAGCTTTCATGTCCACTACAATGAACTGTGTCCCAGCGTCGCGCGTCTGGCCTCCTGTGGTGACGCCGAGAAGGTCGAATTTGCGCTGGGTCGCCGACTTTTCCGATAGCGCACGCTTGCATTCGTCCGATCGTGCGACTCGTTGCGCCTGCTCGGCCGTGGAGTAGTATGCGGTGTCGACACGAACCGCGCTCGCAAAGCTCGACAAACTGCCGCTGCTGCATGGAGTCGCGATGTCTCCGGCTGATGTTTCCGGAGGATCCAAGGCATCCGGCGGTGCCGATCGCGGTGGCGCACTTGCAGCAGACAGCTTCGGCTTCTTGTTCCACGGTCGCTTCCTCTTCCTTCCGAACGCTTGCCGCGTGCTCGATTTCAACCGAGCGTCGTCCGGCATCTCGAGAACTCGAAGCGAAACAAAACAAAACACGCGCGACTTCGTAGGAAAGCGAACCAACAATGTTCAACGCAAGCGCGCAAACGGGAACTAAAACGTGCGCTCGATAACGGAAGAAACAAAGCAGACAGGCCTAGACGGGCGGAGACGGGCCCAGGAGCAGACGACGCACCTCTCGCCAGCGCGGGAACGGAAAGGAGGAAAGGAGAAAAAGAGCAGAGGGGCGCGTTTAGGCCAATAGCAGGGGCGCTAAGCGCCGCGCGTGCTCTGACGTACGGGCACCTTGCTAGCCGGCCAATGAGCGATCGCAATTGGGGCCTTCGAAACCCGCGGAATGCAGACGTTTCCCGATGTTGTCGCGATAACGAATGGCATGGGGACGTGGGGAAAATAAGCGGCTTTCCAACAAGACCAAGATGGCCGCGATCCGACGAGCGATCGCGAAACGCGCGGGGCGCGAAGTTCCACTTGTTTTCATTGAACTCGCTGTGTTAGGGCTCTGCGGGGACATCGTAAATATCATTTTTTTCATGCTTAGACATTGAATTCGACATTGAAACTTTGCAGGCAGGTACCTTAGACTACAATTAATCCAAATATGTGAATTTTGAAAAACGTGAAATTTCGCGTTTTTTTACCATTTTAAGACCCGCGTCTCCCCTTAAAGACCGACCAACGAAACCATTTTCCGCAAGGTAGGAAAATGCCCCTCGCGCCCTCCTCTTTTCACCCTCTCCCAAAAATCACGTGACGGCAGGGGCTCGTTTTGTGTCGGCTTTTTATGTAGGGATAATCCTCAAAAACCGCGAAATGAGCGGCTAGCTGCGAGCACAACAACGACCTTGAAACGTCCAGGGCCCGTTTGCTCGAAGCACTAACCGCGGCTAAAGTTAGCCGCAGTACCTAGGAGAGGGATTTTGAGATCACGTGACTGGGGCTCGGTAGGGATGCGGGGAAACATGGCGGTGCCCCAGTGAGGGAGCGCCGCTCGCTTTGGAAATAATATGTCGTTGTGGTTGCAATATCGGGCGCGTTACTCATGCAGCAACGAATGGTGCGGGAGGCTTTCGCTTTGCCTTATCTCACTTAAACCGCAAAGCATGGGTAATGACATCGCCGCATTTTTAGATAGTGTTTCGATTCTGGGCATTCCTAAGCCTAAATGAACGCGATAATGGTCGGCATGGCAACGTCTTTGTAAAGCGGATTGTTGATAGCACACAAAAGAAGACGGCGTCCCAACAGACCTTTTTTCTAAATTATTCAAGCACCGAGGTGCATGCTACGACAGTAGTTGCACGCGTCGCACGTGCTGGCGTCTGCACTAGTAACCGTACGTTCTAAAGCAAAAAGTATAAAACAAATTTTGCCTTGCACGCGCGTTCTTCAAAGCCTTATTATGATTTTTTACTTCAAATTTTTTATAAGAGGAAGGCCAGCGCGCGTGAACCGTAGAATTACACTTCCAGCGTTCTCCTCGCGATGCTTGGATAATTTAGAAAAAAAGGTCTGTCGGGACGCTGTCTGCTTTTGTGTGCTATCAACAATCCGCTTTCCAAAGACCTTGCCATGCCGACAATTATCGCGTTCATTTAGGCTTAGGAATGCCCAGAATGGAAACACCATCTAAAAAATGCGGCGATGTCATTGCCCAATCTTTGCGGTTTAAGTGAGGTTAGGCAAAGCGAAAGCCTCCTGCATTATTCGTTGCTGACTAACGCGCCCGATATTGCAGCTACAACGACATATTAGATCCAAAGCGACCGGCGCTCACTCACTGGGGCACCGCCATGTTTCCCCACATCCCTACCGAGCCCAGTCACGTGACCTCAAAATCCCTCTCCTAGGTACTGCGGCTAACTTTAGCCGCGGTTAGCGCTTCGAGCAAACGGGCCCAGGTGTCTTCCCTCGTTGACGCGGGCACGCTCAATCCGCGAGATTGAGGAAGCCAGCGCGACCGAACGCTTTTTCTCATGAGCTGCAGGTCCGAGGCCGCTCGGTCGGTGAAGATCGAGGGATCTTGGTATGCTGGGTTCGTTCCAGCAGCCGCTCTCTGGCATCGCGCGGCTGCTGGAACCATTCCCGTCTCTGCACAAGGATTGGCTTGCGCAATAAAGGGTTCAGGTCGTCGATAATACATTTATTTCCGAAACTTATAAATCAAGTGGCTTTCCCTAATCTCTTCATTACTGTTTAAAACACATCTCCTCTCATAGGTTGTTCATCCCATTTTGGACTCTTTTACTTATTTATTCGTCCTTACCTCTGCTTGATGACTGTTTTATAGCTTGACAAAGACCTTTAAATATTGGCGCGGGCTTGAGCGATCAACGCTGTCCCGGATTTATTCAAAATTGGAAAGATTGGCGTCAGGAGGGGTTGAAGAAGCAAACCGTAATTCTAGCTTCTAATGAAGGTGGCACAATCGTAAGATCGGTCTATGCTTCACTAGCCTCCACAGCGCCCCATCGTTTGCACTATCGCAACTTCTCAGTGACATAGCTGTATACCACATTTTACTGATGGTTACTATAGATGTGGCCCCACAGGCTTTCCCGTTATCTGCGAGTCGACTTTTTAACGACCGGCGACTCTCCTGAGTGAGAATAAATATTATCACCTTCCCACAACATCCACACCTTTCTCTCCCTCCCCCCCTCCCCTCCCTTTCCCGAGTTGGGGAAATATCAGGCCACTCCAGGGAAGCAGCCTGCAGACTGCGCTTTTCGGCTACTCATTCTCAACATATTCAAACGTGGAAGTAAGCACATCGCATGAACGACGCCCAATATATTTGCAACCTAAATAATGTGGCTCTACTGTTGGGGCCCAATCAATTTCATCATCAATCATTTTTTGTTACGACTTCATGGTGAAAGTGTGTTCGTCGTGATGCCACAAAAGTGGTTGATTCAAAGGGAGAAATAGGTCCTCGTATTTATTTTGCGGAAATACGCGCTCCTGTGACGCTCTAGTGCGCAAGGTCAACGCACCCGAGGCGATGCGTAATGCTTTAAAACTGTCGTTGACGATAAAATATTTGTGGGAAGTGCGTAAAATTGTTTACATCACAAAAGCATACCGAAAGACAACAAAATATTGCAATGGCTACAAAAAAATCATAAAAAAAAATCAGCCGGGGCGCTTGGGAAAATTGCAAATCATCTATTTGTCCCTTTTAATCGATCACTTTTGTGGCATCACGACGAACACACTTTCACCATGAAATCGTAACAAATAATGATTGATGATGAAATTAATTGGGTCCTAACAGTATAGAGCCGCATTATTTAGGTTGCAAATTAACTGGGCGTCGTTCATGCGATGTGTTTACTTCCATGTTCGAATGTGTTGAGAATGAGTAGCCGAAAAGCGCAGTCTGCAGGCTGCTTCCCCTGGAGTGGCCTGATATCTCCCCAACTCGGGAAAGGGCGGGGGGAGAAAGGGTGGATGATGTGGGAAGGTGATAATATTTATTCTCACTCAGGAGAGTCGCCGGTCGTTAAAAAGTCGACTCGCTCATAACGGGAAAGCCAATGGGGCCACATCTATAGTAACCATGTGTAAAATGTGGTATACAGCTATGTTACTGAGAAGTTGCGACAGTGCAAACGATTGGGCGTTGTGGAGGCAAGTGAAGCAAAGACCTATCTTACGATTGTGCCATCTTCACTAGAAGCAAGATTTTCGGTTTGCTTCTTCAACTGCTCTTGACGCCAATCTTTCCAATTTTGGGTAAATCCGGGACAGCGTTGATCGTGCAAGCCCGCGCCAATATTGAAAGGTCTTTATCAAGTTATCACACAGTCATCGAGCAGAGATAAGGACGAATAAATACGCAAAAGAGTCCAAAATGGGATGAACAACCTATGAGAGGAGATGTGTTTCAAACAGTAATGAAGAGATTAGGGAAAGCCACTTGATTTATAAGTTTCAAAAATAAATGTATTATCAACGACCTGAACCCTTTATTGCGCAAGCCAATCCTTGTGCAGAGACGGGAATGGTTCCAGCAGCCGCGCGATGCCAGAAAGCGGCTACTGGAACGAACCCCGCATACCACGACCCCTCGATCTCCACCGACCGAGCGGCCTCGGACCTGCAGCTCATGGGAAAGAGAGTTCGGTCGCCCTGGCTTCCTCAATCTCGCGGATTGAGCGTACCCGCGTCAACGAGGGAAGACACCTGGACGTCTCAAGGTCGTTGTTGCGCTCGCAGCTAGCCGCTCATTTCGCGGTTTTTGAGGATTATCCCTACATAAAAAGCCGACACAAAACGAGCCCCTGCCGTCACGTGATTTTTGGGAGAGGGTGAAAAGAGGAGGGCGCAAGGGCCATTTTCCTACCTTGCGGAAAATGGTTTCGTTGGTCGGTCTTTAAATTGATGGGACACGCAAAAAAGTTTGTTAATGCGAGAACTTCATTGTCCTGAAATCAGCAATAGCAATGAGATATCAGTTGTGGTGGAGCATGAATGAGCTTTAATTCCAGAAATCAATCAGCCTGGGCTGCTTTGCACTTTTGGAAAGAAGTGCAGTACAATGCGATTCTTGCAGTCGGAGGACAATGGAGTGGCACGTCGTCGTCGTGGGCACCGACAAAAGTTAAGATAATTTGGACGACGTCCATTAACTGGGACGTGAGCGCCGGAGTAAAAAGACCCGAACAGCGCCATCTTCATCATTTTAGAAGCCGCCATCGGGAACGCCTTCAATGATTTGTTTAGTACTGGTCTCTTTATAAACAATCACGTTTTTGCTGCCGTCAATGCCGACAAGGAAGTGCCAAAATTACCCGCAATACCCTCCTTCCTTTTCTTCACCACGCTGCCTCAGTGATAACACGTATTTTCTTTTCGAGAGAAAGAAAATTTATCTTTTTACATGCTGGTTGCATCACGTCACGTTTGCTGTTGCGAAAAATCCATTTCTGCTGCAAACCGTGCCAAGTGGTCGTGCACAATCATGTGCGAACTTGTGCCGTCCAAAAACCACCCGCTGTCGGTACGCCATCTTGTACATCGTTGGCTCGGCTCAAGCCCTAACCAGACGCAAACGGTTCCTTACGTTCCTCGACTTTGCAGAGAGTCTGGAGGCTCCGAGGTTCTCACGAAACGCTGCCCGCTCCTCCTACAAGCAGTTGTTGCATGCTTACACCATCTTCTGCCACCTGCTACGGCGGAAGCTAACAGGCACTGTGGCAATTCCTTGATCCTAGCGCCGAGGGCCGTGTGCGCGGTTACGCTACAACGCCTGGGTTATGGCTCCGACTGACGTGCTTCGAATCCCGTTCCGCCCACGGGTCGAAAGCGGTCCCAAAGAGGCAACTAGGGGCGCCAGGAAAGCCTGAGTGTCACGCTGTTGGATGTCAGGATCCTGGCAGTCAATTGTAGAAGTTTAGGCAAAAAAATGCGGCAAAATGCGGGCATCGCCGTTTCCACGGCGTCCCAACTCCCGGTGCCAAAGCATCCATGGACCGTTGAGCCGGAGGGCGACCCGTAACGGAACGGGAGTCTGCCACATCCATTACTGCCACTGCGTCAAGACTGCAGCCAGCGACGGCACAATGCTTCTACTATGACCTTGTCGAGCCGAAATTGAGAAACCGCTTTTTAAGATGCAATAAATACACCGTTCGGAGCTACGTTTCGAGAACCACAGTTACGCCGTCGATGGCTCCCGCAACGTCCCACCTGCAGCCATAATGCGCCCACTTACGGCGCTCGGCTCGCCCTAGCTTAGCCCGGTCGCTCGGACGAGTCAGTGGCCGGTTGGGTCGGACGCGGCTCGGAGCTCGCAAAGCCAAAATTGAAAGCGCGCTCCTTACGTATGCGGAAAGAAAACGTCAAAATATGAACGACCGTCGCGGGGGGTACGTTCACTATGCGAGTAAATACGGTACGACATTTGCGTGCCGCAGGCCGCTTCGTGGGTGCATAGGGTTCGCGGAAGTGCGTAGGGTTCGCTAAAAAAACGCCGCTGGATTTAACGACAACCCATACAATTACAGTTACGCGCAAAATTATGTCTCGATCCGTTACGAAAGCTACCTGCGCGGTCACTTGAAAGGGCCGACGCGGGCACTCACGTGTCGAGCTGCTCGAAGGATGGGGTGGTGGCAGGAGCAGCCTCCTTGCAGGGAGGGGCCTTCCCCGGGGGGGCCCGTTCTCCAGCGGGAACCTCGTCCTCCTCGGGGGGCATCTCCACAATGGGCTCCGGGGTGAGCGAGTGCCTGGCGGAGCCCGGGGCGGCCGTCGGGGCCCCCTGGCCCTCCCCCGCGGGGGGCGCCCTGGGGCTGGGCTCGTCCCCCAGGAAGTCAAACTCCCCAAGGGCAGACTGCGAAGGGCGCACCGAGGGCGGCGTTACCTGCGGTCGGGTCTTGTCGCTCCGAGCAGTTTCGCGCAAAACCGTTACGACGACGAAATCGTTTGGTCTAAGGTACCAGCTCATAAAAGTTATTCTTCCCCTAAGAACGTTATGTCGGAACCATAGCAGAGACAAAAATCCACGAGCCATAAGAGACACAGGCAAGAGGTGTCCGAAATATATGTCGACTCGCCCTTCAGAAACGAGCCCGCATCTGCCTACGCCGGGCGTGGCCCGTGTGCAGAAGCCAGTATTGCCCCGGGTGAAGCGTCCTTGCCCACACGGCGGCGACGGCAGTGCAATGCAAGGGAGTAACGCGCTCAAGTCGGTGTACAGGTTCCCAATCATCAACTCGTTTATTTTACGCTCTTTCTCTTCGTACAGACGCCAACCGATTTTTGGGACACCGGTAATAAGGATTAGTTTGGTCTTTTGGACCTAAAGGAGGCACCGTGACCTACCCGATAGAAATGGCGCATATTCCCGACCAATGTTTTGGACAGCTCAAAGTCCGGAAGTTTGATTTTTCGGGGACAAAATCGTCGCGAGTGGTCAGCGTGCAACACCATTGAGAAGCCGCCATTTTCGACTCTTTGTCGGCTGCTTGTGGATAGGCTCGGTTTGGCAGCGCTACTCGAATACTGCTAAGTCCTGCCGCAAGGTGACGGTAGGCTACGGATTTTTTTTGTTCTCCAGCTACGTGTCGTCATGACCAACATTGTTAGCATTATTATTTGCCACTCCCGCTTTAAAACGCCCTCGCTTTCACCCCCGGGGGTGTGGGGACGGGCCCTCACCTGAATATCCCCTTCGAGCGAAGTGTGGGGGGGTGTCACGGAGGGTGCCACTTCCTCGGAGTCCTCGAAGGTGAGCTTGATCACCGCCGTGCCGTCCGAGGGGGTGCCGGTCTCGGCGGGTGCTGCGCAGAGAGACGCCGTCGTGCAGACGCCCGGGGTGCGGTGTGGAAGGTTCGGTTGAAAACACAACCCCCGAGAACTCTTCGCTTTGAAGTTTTTCGGGTCTTCACTAGATGGCGCCACCCGCGGCACCAAATGTTTGTGGCAATGATGATATTGAAAAGTAATTATTGAGAAAAGAAAAAGGAATGAAAGATTGGCAAAAATAATCCCTGGAGAAGGGTGACAAGAGGGACAAGGTACAAAGAAATCTCCGAACACAGCTAGGTGGCTGGTGCGCGACCAAAAAAATCCGCCTGGTCCCTTACAGGTGGAGCGCTCTACCAACTGTTCCCCTTCTTCAGGGATTATTTTCGTAATTCTAGTCCAGCTCACTTGCACCTCTGCATTTAATGGCATTATAATCATAAATGATAGATGATTCACTTTTTGGGGGCTTCTGTAAATAGGAAAAGTTGAGCAGTCGATTGTGCGTACAGATCCAAAGACGACGACATGAACGAGAAATGCTTTCAGTGAGACGACGAGCTATTGCAATCTAGGTGTGGCTCTCGTAGTGAATCCAAATATAAGGGCCCCAACGTGGCGACTGCGCTGCCAAATGCAACAAAGATCAAACAAAATTATGGTCTTACAAGTTACTATGATGACAAAGACCAGGAAGCACAGATTGTGCTTTCTGGTCTTGGTTGTCAACAAAATACAAAAGAAATATTACATTTAAGATTCATACACTATTTCTACACCTTATGGGCTATCAAAAAAAAAAGATAAAAGAAAATTGAAAAAAAAAAATTGCTTTTTTTAGAAAAATGATTCTAAGTTTGTATATTTTCGTTTTTGTACACATCTGGGGCGAAATCAAATTTGTCCAAGAAGTTCAACGAAGAAATATATAACAACCGACAGCTTATATAAATAGCTATGTATCTATATATGTTTCATGACATAGCTCCTTACCGTTCGTTTGATATAGCTATCTCAGTATAAGTCAAAATTGCTCTGGGTGGCATGTTTGCAATTTATGTAAAAATAAATAAAAATGGTAAAAGACAACACTTGACGTCTAAATACAGCCCAAATCGCCTACTTATAGTATAAAAATTATTATCACTAAGTGAGAAGTCAATATTTTGCAAAGACCGTCTTAACTTGAAAAATATCGAATCCCGATTTTCACACATTCCACCTGGCAGCGTTTCGCATTTCTATTTCTCTCGTACTACATATTTCTAATTTTTTTTTAATAGCACTTTTTTGTTCGTCCCAGGGATTGGGATTTCAGATATGTTTTTACAGATAATTCCGAGGACCCACCCCGACAAGGTTGGTCGAATTCAAACGAAACCGCCCAAATATATTCTAGACCGTCAATGCAAGAACTAGCACAAAAGGTGGGGGTCAACAAAATATTTGTACACAAAGTACAAGAAATTTGTAGAGGAATTCCAAGTAGAGAAAGAAGGTGGGCAAGATTGCTTCAGAAATGAATGCCCCGTTCAAATTGCCTAAGAGGGTGCGACTGCAAGCGGGAAAATGAGAGGGAAATGGGAGAAAGCAGAAAGTCGGCGCCAGCAGGGGTGCAGGAAGCAGGCGACCCCGTCCTCCCGATAACTGTCTGCGCCTTTGGGGAGGGGCCGAATGGTTTTACAACTTTTAACAATTGTCGGCATCCTAACAGACACGCACCGTGCCATCGTGTGTCCACGGAGGAGGTGGGCACTTCCTTTCCACTTTTTCGTTTCTTTTCAATCACATACACAATGTTAAAAAAAAAAGAATTTGCTTCATTGCTTCTAAATTAAGATTTTCTTTTCTTTTTTTTTTTTTTTTTCTTTTATCTCGAATTTTTTTGGGGTATCTTCCCGAACACGAGCACATGCTGAAACATGCGCCGACCGCCTCCGGGAAAGTTTACCATCTGAAGTAAAATTGTAGCCCGAGCGTGTCTCAAGGCAACGGGAGCGGTGCAAGATAGAAGCGGCTCGCCGAAAGCTTCAGTGCTCACTCGTCCCTGGAGCACAGGGGCAGCAGAGGTGTGGGGTTTGTTTCTGCGACTTTCGACTCAAAGGCACGTATCTATGCAAGTTCTCGAGTTCGGTGTTGTGTATTCGAGTACTAGAGCGCGCCATTGTATTATTACATTTACGTTAATTCAATTCACTTTGGGAAACTCGTGTCAAAATAAATTGAATTTGTACACTAATGACCGTCGGGGCGGCACTTTTGCTTTTGCCGGTTCGACTCCGGGCAGCCAGGCGCAGGTAACCCGCTCACCTGGGGTGAGCAGGGCCTCGGGCGGAGACACGGTGGCCACTTGGTCCGAGCAGCCGGGGGGCATGGCCCTCTTCATCAGGCGACCCCAGGTGGCCACGTTGATGTTCATCTGGGTCGGCCGCAGGAAGTTCTTGCCTGCGGGGAGGGAGGGGCACGTTGCCAATGACGAGGGGGGAACCCCGAGGGGGGCCGCTGAGGCCGGCTCGGTCGAGGGCCCACCTTTGTGGACGAAGAGCTTCCGCTGCCTCTGCAGGCGGGGCTTCCTCGAGATCATCGGGTTCAGGAACCTCACCTGCGGTCGGGGAAACCGTGTCGGCACCGCCGGGAAGTGCAAATGTTGCGGCAGAAGCTTGTCACGGCGGAAGCGCATCGATTCCCTCTTTGTTCGTTTATATTTTTTCGAAATTCAAACTCTCTACCACATTCCAGCCAGCTACTCTAAAGGATTACGTATAAAGAAAACCCTTTTGCTTGTTCGCAAATCCGTGAGTCACCGACAGGAGAATATAGTAAGGTAAGCAATTGTAACCCAGTTCTTTCCTGTGGCCAAGTTGGTCTTAAGCAAATTTGTGTCACTGTCATAGATTGCAAAGTAAGACGGTAAAGTCTAAAGAAATTCTACAGGAACCAGGGAAGGAATTTCCGAGTAATACTATCAATCTCGGAAAAATTTTAATTATGTCGATCGAATTGTTGCATAGATGTGAAACTCCAAGTACATTCTTTTCCGAGCACACGACAGGAAACTACCACGTCGAAGATCCGACAAAAAAACATTTTCGCGAGTGGTCGGCATTGCTGCCAGGTGAGACAGATTTCCGCCCACGAACATGAAACTAAAAATCAATTAAGACGGTGTTGCGGCACGACGCAAGTTATTATTTACGGTCTGTCCGTTACGACGTTCCGTCGATCCCAAGCAAATGGCATCCGTCGAAGCCGTTTCTTCAGCCAGAAATGCACCGGTGGATACGGGAGCGCTCGGGACAGGCCTACGGAGGTTGGGAGGCACCTCTAGCCATTCATGCGTCAGCAACGAGTTCTCGCCAAAACAATGTCCAAATGAGGACTCGCAAACGGGTCCAAAAATTCTTTGCAGGTCATGGACGCCCGCCCGGCGGGAGGCCGCAACGCCACATCCGGTCGGCGGCCAAGAACTCTCGCCAGCAACTAAAGTCGCCGAATGAGCTATGCCGAGAGTGACGCTCCATTCCCCGACCTTGCGGGCGCCACCAATTCGGCACTTAGCTTAGAGGGGGCGCAAATGACGACTGCGACCCGAACTTTACCTACGGTGTCGCGAAGGTCGAGCGACATTGCCTCGCTTCGTCGCAGGCCGTTTTTTACATTCCCGAAAAACGGAAACTTGTTCCCCGCAATTTCGAATGAAGCGTAAAAACCTAGCAATCGCGATTCTAAGTGCCGAACTGGCTCGAGCGTCGTCACTCAAGGCGTCGCTTGCTCGGTAGCTCTGCCGGGGACAAAAACTGAACCCCTACCCTTCGACCGGGAGGTGCTAAGGCAACCACATAAGGTGCACTTCAGACCATCCGTGCTTCAACCGTCCCGGTGCATAAAATCCTCGTCCGAAATTGCGAAAGACAGTTTTGCGCCCTCTGGAAATGTTAGAATGATTTGCTACAAAGAAAAACAGCGCCGTCCCAGCTTCTCGACCGGGTCTCCAAAGCTCGGCGAATCGCGTTTTTAATCATACCGACCCTTTCTTTCCCCACCGAGCGCCAAAATGGCGGCGCTCGCGAGAGGGTCGATAGAACAAAGTTCCCACACCCAAAGGGTAGCTCGGTCAGAGGCTTTACGCAGTGCCACTCGCACGGGGGGATAAAGATGGGAGCGAAACGGGGCATATCATAAATGCCAACGTCGGTGGCACAAAGAAAAAAAACGAGAGAGAGACCAACGAAAAGCAAAGAAAGCAAGATGGCGACAGGTTAGGCGCGTCTGTTTCGCCACGATGAGTCTAGAGTCTAAGATGAACATGGTTAAAATTGCGCACAAATAGAAAGGAACAGTGCAGAGAGAACAGACAAGCGGAGTCGTTCAAGGTGCCCGTCGATTTAACCTATTTTTATATTACGCGAGACGTTGGCGTTTTTGAGTGATATAACGCTAGGAAAACACTAGATACAAACCTCGCAGGCGATGTTCTCTGGATTCTTTGTGCGCGTGAACGGTGTCGCCGGCAATACGGTCCCTCTGTTCCAAAGCGACCAAAACACGCGGGACCTTTCCCTCCCGATTCTCAGGTTAGCTCTAAGAGAGACCCACCTCCGCGAAGAGCAGTCCCTTGGGTTCCAGGTGCAGGGCCATGCCGTGCCGCTCGTCGTCTATGAACTCCTCCAGCCGGAGGAACTTGACGGCGCACATGCCCCGCCAGTCCTTCCAGTACACCTGGATCTCCAGCTCACGCGACTGTTGATCAGACACAGGGAAGGCAGGCTCAACAAATGCTCGCACCCTGCTCCGGCCATGCGGGCACGTGCACCAAAAACGTTCTAAATTGCCAACGCAGCATTAAAAATCGGAAATCAAGCTACAATACCGTATTTGCACGAATATAACGCAAGTTTTTTTTTCATAAATTCCGTGCTCCAAAACGCACCTCGCGTTATATTTGGAATCGAGTTCAGCCACGAGGCGCGCGAGTCTGGAGAAAGCCAGAGGAGAAAGCCATTCCTGTGGCTCAATGCAAAATATCCAATGGAAAAAGAAGGGGGGGGTGTGGAAGGGAATTTATTAGCTGTTGGGTCACGTGGAGGGGAGAATAGAAAACATAAAAAAAAAACATTTTTATCGCTTTTGTGTTTGTACAACGCGTGCACGCCGCAAAACCTCAGCGCGCGTGTGCACGCCTTGCGGGAATGCGGGCACTGGCCAATTCCAGCCAAGCCAAGACCACCAACTGCGTTTACCCAATCGTGCAACACGAGGCATTTGTTTATGCAGAGGGACCAGAACAAGAAGTGTGATCTTGTATCAGATTCAGCAGTCTTTTTTTTCTGCCTGCGCATTGTTTAGTTTCTGCTCCAGAGTGATCTGGAGTTTGTGTGATGTTGCTTCTGCTTCGTGCCTTGTTTGGATTGTGGGCTGCCGAGGAGCTCAAAGAAGCTCGCAGGGAAGAAAAAGGAACTACCAGACAAGCAGGCACCGTGCTGCTGCTTATCTGCGTAGTCGCCAAGTGGATTGTAAACGGAAAGACCTGAGCAGTGAGGATGAGTGCAGTCAAAACATAAACTGATATTTCTTCTATTTCCATTGACTTTTCACATCTGCTATGGCCCCGAGTGCCAGAAATTGACGCGGCCTCGGTTCGCGTTATAATAGTAATAATATTTTCTTTTTTTTTCTTTTTGAGGGCATCAAAACTTGCCCTCGCGTTACATTCGTGGTCGCGTTATATTCGTGCAAATACGGTATTCCCTCGTCGTAACAAAATAATATTTTTTTTAAATTATCGCTTTAATTGAAGTTTAACGTGGTCCCGACCGAAATGCACGCATTTTTAGCCGGATTCTTCGAAGTGCATCGGCGGCCAGCCACGCTTCTTACGAAGGCCAAGGTGCCAAAAGCACGCAAGCCTACACGGAGACACAAGGAGACCCTCGCGTTCCCTGCCCCTTCTCCACCGAGGCAAACGGCAAACTGGAAAAACGGAGCAAACGGGTGATGGAAGGAAGAGCGCATAGAGCTGGCAGAGCGCCGCTTCTGATGCTGATGCGCCGAGAGGGGACGCGGGCAGGGAGAAACGGGAGCATCATCAACGCTCCGATGATCTCGTCCGGGCTCCATCGCTCCCTTGACCCGATTCCACCGGGAGTTGGGCAGCGCCCACAGCCGACACCGCCCAACTCCCGATGGATTCGGGTCAAGGGAGCGATGCAGCCCGGAGGAGATCCTCCCTTCGCTTTTTACCGAGCACAGGTAGACTGCGGAGAAGCAACACTTGCAGAAGCGAGCTCAAAGGGTGTTGCTTGTCCACATTGCACCGGTGCTCAGTAAGTGGTGCACTCCACGGGGTAACCCACAGCAATCAATGTTTGGAAAAGTATGAATATTACAGTTGCTCACGTGGGAGAAAAGCACACTTTCAAACGGGATGGTGCATGTGCACGCCTGGTATACTTAAGAAAAAACAAAAACTTGGGGAATGTTGACGTCTACATTGCAGTAACATTTTCCAAATGAAACTGTGGCTGTCATACAAGAGTATGCATTAGGCAGAGATGCCCCAACAACCTGCGTTCATCATTTGAAATTCCTCTCTTTAAATTCGAGATTGAAGAAAGATTGTTTGCATATAGCAATATCTCTAAACCCACTCAATTAGGCGTAGCTGGGCATCTCTATAGGTATAATTTTATGTCAAATCTGTCATTTACTTGCCATCCCAAGGCATCAGACTTTCTGAGGTCACCGTCCATAAACAGAGTTAGACTAAAATTAGCTTAGGAATGGACAAGTGGAAGCTTGGGATTGACCTTCATGAGTTGAGCTGGATTTTCGTTTAAGTATGGTGCAACAGTAGGGAAAGGCTCGGAGAAACTCTTTGATATTCGATTCGAAAATATTCAGCCAAAACCACTATTCGCACGTGACTAGTGAATGTCGATAACATCAAATTTCAAAACACTGCCCGCCCTTTTATTCCCGTTGGATATCGCGTGATGTGCGACGGGAATGGCATCTACCACGTGATATGCGGTACCAAGACACGAGAGAGTTCGTAGCGAATTCTTACCTGTTTATCGCACCTTAAAACTTGAATTTGCCACATCTGCCATTTGTGGTATAGGTTCCCATTTCACATGGTTCGCGGCAAGTGCCCCAGCATTTATCGCCGATTTTTTTATGAGATTTTGCCTTCGCAACCTCAAAGATCCCCCACCCCATATTTTTCACCATCTTTATCTCTCCCCTTTGAGTGGGCATTCTTACGACAATTTTTTGGTACGTCACTGCATTACCGAAAAACGGCGACGCCCCCCTTTCGAGGCGGGGCCACCGATGTGCAGGCCAAGGGGCAGGAAGGAGGCCAAGGGGACCCACCCTGTCCAGAGTGATCTGGAACCTCTGGTCCCAGGCCTGCTGGCTGCAGGGCTTGTAGGCCGTCTGCCCCACATTGACATTGTCCAGCTTCAGCACCGCCATGATCTCGCCTGCGAGGCAGTCGTCTCCTTTATTTCACGGGCATCTCCGTGGCCAAACAAAGAACGCTTCTGTTGCGTACGAAGCAAATGTTAAAGACATTCCATTCGTATCTGAAACTCAATTATTAGAACAGCCTCGGTCCCCGTTTAGAGTGAAAAGTGTGGCGCGCCCATGGCAACTTGCTCGGGGCTGGTGCTATTTGCCACGGGGACTGGTGTGAAACGGTCGGTGGTGGCGTCGAGCGAAGCTAACCAGAGAATGCAACCTGGCCTTTCTCTCTCTGTAGTACGTACGACAGCTGCTGGCTGCCTTCCATCGTGCTCTGGACACGCACGCAGGCTCAAGCTCGCCCAACACCAAGGTGTTTATGAAGGTGGGAACTTTGCACTGGATGCGGGACCATTGATACACCTCCCTGCTGCTCTTATCTTCTCTATCACTAAATACAACTAAACTGAAAAAAAAAAAAAATATTGAGCGAAAAAGAATTATGAAAAAAGGGAGACTTTTTTTAATGAACATCCAATTTCATGTGATGAGAAGGCCTGCTGAGAGGTACTGTACCTAGTAATGCGGTGGAACATCCAGGGACTGCAAAAAATACATCTTTTGCCAAAAGGCAGTGGAAGCCACCTAACAACAAATTCTCTGCATCCGGAAAAAAATGTCACGACCGACGACACTTCTGGGGCCTACAGACAATGTGGGAAGCGACTCTCCCTCGACGACTAATCTGCAGAACTGGGACGCTTTTTTAAATCTGTCGTAGGGCTCTGTTCCACGAGAAAAGCGACAAGTTACGCTTGGCCTGCAGATGGGTCAAAGCTGTACGAAAAACACATAGTCTCGTCGGGTCTATATTGCTTATACTACCTCAACGTCACGCGACACCATGGTGTCGTGCGACGTCAGTCCCCACGTGAGCACGCTGTCACGTTGCATCAAGCAGACGCGCAACTTATTCCCCACACATTTTGTGTGCCTCAGAGTTTATGAGATACTGCTGCGTGCGTGGCAGAGTTGGCAATGCACGCAGCTGCCACACAAAGGTGCGGGGTTCATATACTAGAACCTCGTTGATACGTTCTCGGTTGATACGTTTTCCCGGCTGTTACGCAAAAAAACGCCGGTCCCGTTTTACTTCCATAGAGATACATGTATTAGTTTCCTGCCTGTAATGTTTGCTTTCCCGCTTGCTACATCCAAAAGTGTCGACATCGCCGCGCCTCGGCGCGCTGGGCACCAGGCTGCCATGCTGGCTTCGAAGTGAATCAAGCAGAGCAATGCCGAACCATGCAATGCGGGTCGCACGGCACGAGCAGGCACGCAGACGCCTGTCTTGCCTTCACTCCTTTCCCCCTCTTTTCCGCCTCTCCTCGCTGGGCTTTGCTGAGCTCTGCCACAGCTTCTTGCCCGGCTGTGAACTTGGAGCACTGCTCGGACGGGGAGCGAGGCTGGCGAGGCGGCAAACGCTCCTCTTTTGCTCTCTTTTTCATTTGTCCTTCTCTTTCTCTGGCACGGGGTGCGCCCACATGCATACTGCACGTCTAGTTTCTGTTCGCTCGATTGCACGAACCGTGGTGTTTCACAGTATCTGTGCTTTGCGCCCATTGACGACGGTCATGGCATCGCGAAAAAGGAAGACATTTAAAGAGATATACCGTATTTGCACGAATATAACGCGAGTTTTTTTTTCGAAATTCCGTGCTCCAAAACGCACCTCGCGTTATATTCGGAATCAAGTTCAGCCACAAGGCGCGCGAGTCTGGAGAAAGCCAGAGGAGAAAGCCATTCCTGTGGCTCAATGCAAAATATCCGGTGGGAAAAGAAGTGGGGGTGTGGAGGGGAATTTATTAGCTATTGAGCCACGTGGAGGGGTGAATAGAAAACCTAAAAAAGCATTTTTATCGCTTTTGTGTTTGTACAACGCGCGCACGCCGCAGAAACTCGGCGCGCACGCGCGCCATGCGGGAATGCGGACACTGGCCAATTCGAGCCAAGCCAAGCCGGGCCAAGTCAAGTCAACACAAGCCAGGCCAAGACCACCAACCGCGTTTACGCAATCGTGCAACACGAGGCATTTGTTTATGCAGAGAGACCAGAACAAGAAGTGTGATTGTGCGTCGGATTCAGCAGTCTTTTTTTCGGCCTGTGCATTGCTTAGTTTCTGCTCCAGAGTGATCTGGTGTTTGTGTGTTGGTGCTTCTGCTTTGTGCCTTGTTTGGATTGTGGGCTGCCGAGGAGCTCGCACGGAAGAAAAGGGAACTACCAGACAAGCAGGTGCCGTGCTGCTACGTTTTGCGCAGAGTTGGTCGTGGTTTTGCGTAGTGGTCAAGTGAATTGTAAACGGAAGGACCTGAGCAGTGAGGATGAGTGCAATCAAAACATAAACTGATATTTCTTCTATTTCCATTGACTTTTCACATCTGCTGTGTCCCCGAGTGCGAGAAATTGACACCGCCTCGGTTCGCGTTATTATAGTAATAATTTTTTTTTTTTTCTTTTTGAGGGCATCAAAACATGCCCTCGCGTTATATTCGTAGTCGCGTTATATTCGTGCAAATACGGTACCTCGGACGGTGTACCAAATCCCAGCCGGAAGAGATCTGACATTGCAAGAGACCTCAGACTTGCGCCGTCAACTTTGAACGGCATCGTCACCAAACGAAAGGAGGTCGAGCAGAAAGGTCCTTTTTATCAACCAGGCTTTCAACAAGCTCGGGGGTCAAGACGCGCAAAGTTGGAGTGTCCGAGTCCTCAACAGTTCTGTCAGTACACATAAAATAAAGCGTTATAGAAGAGCTGCTTTCTATCTCATGTAGAGCCCCCCAAGTGCGTCATCGGTTGTTACGTTTTCCAGGTTGATACATTTTTTTTCTGCGGTCCCCTGAAAAACGTATCAACGAGTTTCTACTCTTCCCCACAGGCCCAGTTCTTGCTTTTGCAGACATTCAGTATTCCGATCTTGGCCACGTTCTGGCATAGAACCTCGTTCTGCGTGCGTTCTGCCATAGACATGTCGTGAACATAGCACATGCATAAAAGTGGCAGTAGGGCACTGCTCCGAGACAATCGCCTGTCCATCACCCATGCCGGTACCTTTTTCTTAGTGTTGTGCAATATTCAAATAGCAGTTTCAAATATTATGCTATTTGATATTCACTTCGAGAGCAGTTGTAGTATCAGTGCTTTCTGTTCTGTCACGCGCGTACCCAACAAAAATAGTTTATAGATTTTATATTGCCTTTTTATTTATTTTTTTTTTTTTCAAATCTTGTACAATGCTTTCTCAATGACCTCGGGAAAATACATGCACCATGAAACACAAAAGACGGCAGAAAATACGAGAATTTAGCCGCTAGCAGTGTTAAAAACTGCACCTACGCAGGCTGTGCCTATCGAGATCATAGCGCACTCGGTTAGGGTTAACAGGGACGCCGGTGAGAGTCTAGCCACAAACCCAGTGAATGGGCTCGCAAACGGTTTGCTGCGTCTGGGGTCGAGTGTTTTTTCGTTAAGCAACGACGGCAAGCACACAACCAGTATGGTTTCCGCCGTCGCTTGTAGATGGCGGCAACCTTTCCAGGTATAATAGAAGAATGGATAGTTGAATGCGTTGGAGGGAATTCATTGTAGGAAACAGCGCGAAAAACAGACAACGATGAAGAAAAAGCATACAGTGTATCTAGTACAGCTCTGCTGGTCTTCCCTATTGACGAGAGTGGAAAGGATGAACGTTTTTTAACTCTGTACAGTCAAGACCGGTTATAACGAAGTCAACGGGAATCGGAAATCACTTCGCTATATCTGTTATTTCGTTATAACCGAGTACGGCTATAACGTAATGCCAAGGAGAATGGGAAATCGTGATCGCTTCGCTGCAGACGCTATTTTGTTATAACCGACTTCGTTATAACCGGTCTCGACAGTAATTCCATTTCGGCTTTTTAGTGTTTCTATTCTAATAAATAAGTCATACATCAATTAATTATGGTTTCCTTCTCACAAATCAGTGCCTTAATAATTGCACGTATGCAATAATTATCTTGCATGCCACTTTGCGGCCAAGATTTTTTAACACCAAGTATTCCATATTCGATTAGAAAATATTCGGCCAAAATTAGAATTAGATTTTAATTCGATTCGAAATCAAAATATACTATTCGCATAACCCTAGTTTTTCTTTAAAGGGCCACTGAAAAGAAAAAAAGAAGCTTTTTTAAAAGAGTCTGGTTGGGACACGCGCGTCAAGAAATAACTTTTATACGAAAAAAATTAAATGTTTAGAGCAATATTTATTTTATTGCGCAAAGTCCACGACATTGCGGAATCGTCAAACAATCTCCAGCTTAACAATATAGTCATAAGCTCACTCCACCTCAACGTGATGGCCAAGTCGATCCACGCGCCCGATAGGCCGAGAAAAAAAAACTTTCAGCCTTTCCACTCTGATAAAAAAGGAAGACCAGCGAAGCTGCACTATGGTGGGATGACCTCAAGGACGACGCCTAGGATGACCTCAAGGATTACGCCTAGGACGACCTCAGGGGCGACGCTTAGGACGACCACAGGGATGACGCCTAAGACGACCTCAAGGACGACATCTAGGACAACGTCAAGGACGACCACGAGGACGTCTAGGACAACCTCAAGGACAACTTCTAGGACGACCTCGAGAACCACCTCACGGACGACCTTGAGGACAACCTTATGGACAACCTCAACGACGACATCTAGGATGACGTCTAGGACAACCTTGAGGTAGACGTCGTCCTCTAAACATCGTCCTTGAGGACACTTCTAGGGCGATGCCTAGAGAGCCTTTCCACAGAGTGGAAAGGCTCGAAAGGCTGCTGCCATCTATAAGCAATAGCGGCAACCAGACAACCAGCAAGCCAGTTGTCTGGTTGCCACTGTCGCTTATGGATGGCGGTAGCTGTCCAGAGTTTTGTGTCGAGATTTATTTGCCCACGGACACAAAACTGGGGAAACTAGCCCTTAACAGCTCTGCTGCAAAACAAGTAGAAAGGAGATGACTACCGACTATATCGCGTATCGCGCCGTCAAAATTGCTCTAAAAAAAAAAATTTTTTTTTTCACATAAAAATTACTTTTGACACGCGTGTCGCAACCAGATTGTTTAAAGAAAAATTGTTTTTCTTTTCAGTTGACTTTTAAGTTTGTAGGCGTAAGTTTGCTTCGTTAAACATTTACTTCCAATTTTAAGCTTGTCTTGCCTTTTTCTTCGTGACACTTTCCAAAACTTAAGCCAGAGCAGCAGAGCAAAGAATCCGGCACTCACTGGAGGTTTCCTCCTTGATGCTGTAGGAGCGGGAGGAGTTGCGGCCGGAGAAGCCCCTGCCCGTGGCCCGGACCAGGCTGCTGCGCAGGTCCGCCCCAATGCCCGCAATCTGGGCCCGGGGAAGCCGGCCCGGCACGTCCTCCAGCAGGTCCTGGCAGCCCAGCAGCCTGAGGGAGGCACGCGTTTCGTCCAATCTCTAAAATGGGGGCCCCCCGGACCCTTTGGGGCTGCCAAGCCCTCGGCCGAGCAATGTTTTTTAAGGCTCTCGTTCCGAACCCCAAACCCCATCCCCGGACTTCGCTGACCGTGAATGCCGGCCTTTTTCGAGGGCATTACGTAAAACGGAGCTGGCAGGTAGCAAATACACAATGAAAAACATACAACAACAGTGCACAAAACTATATAAAAAAAGATTTGCAATATTACGAGTGAAAAAAACAACAAAAACAATGAGCAAACAGTAAACAAAACAAACTGAAAAAGATTTCCCCTTTCCCCATTTCTCTCCCTCCCCTTACTTTTTATAGGCGACGAGAATGAATAGTATACAAGTAGGATACCCACCAGTTTATTTTAAATCGTGACTTTTGAGGTTCTAGTGACACATGCTAGCATTATAACAATATTTGCAATTCCGTTTTCTTCTATCAACGTTTTCGCCTTGTATTTGCTTTTCTCTCTTTGTAAGCCAAGCTTTTTCTTCGGTGTGCGTGTTTTTTTTTTGTTGTCTTATTTTTACGTCTCATTTAAACCAGGAAACGTTTTGTTGCAAGTCGGAAGCCTGTGTTGTCTGTTTGTCTTCCATGTACCTCTTTCGTTATCATAAAAAAAAAAAATCATACACAAGGGGCAAAATAAAAAGAACAAAAAATTAACGCAAACATATACGAGAGAGACGTGAACTAATTATTTGAAACGGGCACTCCTGCCTTTAATTAGGGCTTTAAAAAACCGTAAATAAGTAACAAAAAATATATATCTGATGCTAGAATGGAAGCGAGACAAAATTTAATTGCACCCAACAAAATGACCAATGATTGAAAATTTAAGAACATCGAGGTCAGTTATGAATATGATATAGTCGGGAAGATCGTTCAAGTCCACAATAGTGAGAGGAAATCTGGAAATTTCATAAGTGCACCGCCTAAATATAGCTTGTCGTCTTCTACGGGTCGCTCGACGACCACAACCAAACGCCAGGATTCCAGCAGTGCATGGAATTGCGGCAATCCTTTCGGTCGGTGTTCTGGGAACACCCTAACGCATGGGCAGCGAAAATTTAAGATCAGCATGTGCCGACAGCGATTCTTCGGGCCGATTATAGAGCTGACCACAAGATTTCCCGCGCTCTATTAACCCCGGGCGGGACCGACTGGAGCGCTGCGATGGCTCGATGGTGACGTAGCGACCGGTACAATGTGACGAGGCCAGGTACTTGCTACGCTGTGCTTCGCTTTGGTTGCTTGCTTTAGAGCATAGCAGCAAAAGCTGGGTGCTAAGTGTATTTCGTTTTTGCTATCGCACGAGACGTGCATAGGACGAAACCTAAAAACAAATCTGAATGCACTGAGCGAAACAACCGGAAGTTGCGTGTAAGTTGCGACGAAATCCTAGAATAGCTTCGGGGCCACCACCACCGCTCGGGTACTTGTCGTAAAGACCACCGAGCATACTTCTACGTGCTCTTCACACGCTTCCCGACTTCAAGTAGCAAACGAAAGGAAATACGTACCCCAAAACTACAATTCTCGGTGAAGGTCGCTCGATTCACGGATTCCGGGAGCAACGACAACGAACGACAACGATCCCAACGACTTCGGCGGCCTCTCGAGTCAATGGGAAGGCCTCGCGAGGCACTAATTGATCGCTGCCTACGACCAGCGGCCTCGTTGAATGGGTATGTCCGCGTGACCGTTTTTTAGAGCGCAGATCTGAGGGGCCCGTTCCCAGCTTGAGCGGCGTCGGCGTCGCCGTCGGCGTAACCAAGGTCATCCCAAGGTCACGTGACCCCCCCCGAAGTCACGTGAAAACCCCCCCCCCCCCAAAGTCACGTGAAACCCCCAGGTCACGTGACCACCCCCAGGGTCACGTGACCCCCGCCGAGGTCACGTGAACTCCCCGATGACGTCATCGTCACTGATGACGTCACCGGCATCCGCATCGTCATTGTCATCATCACTGATGACCTCATCAGTAACGTCACTGATGACGTCATCAGTGATGATGACGATGACGATGCGGATGCCGGTGACGTCACTGATGACGTCATCAGTGATGATGACGATGACGATGCGGATGCTGGTGAGGTCATCAGTGACGTCACTGATGACGTCATCAGTGATGATGACGATGACGATGCAGGCGCCGGTGACGTCATCAGTGACGATGACGTCATCGGGGAGGTCACGTGACCTGGGGGTGTCACGTGACTTCGGGGGGGCATCCGCATCGTCATCATCACTGATGACGTCATCAGTGATGATGACGATGCGGATGCCGCTGAGGTCATCAGTGACGTCACATGACGTCATCAGTGATGATGACGATGACGATGCGGATGCCGGTGACGTCATCAGTGACGATGACGTCATCGGGGAGGTCACGTGACCTCGGCGGGGGTCACGTGACCTGGGGGTGTCACGTGACTGGGGGGGGGGGGCATCCGCATCGTCATCATCACAGATGACATCATCAGTGACGTCACTGATGACGTCACCGACATCCGCATCGTCATCGTCATCATCGCTGATGACGTCATCGGAGTCCACATCGTCATCGTCACTGATGACGTCATCAGTGACGTCACTGATGACATCATCGGCATGGTCACGTGACCCCCCCCCAGGTCACTTCACCCCCCAGTACCCTTTTCTCCTCCTCCTCAAGAGCTGCGCTCTAATTCGTTGTTACAGGGAGTTGTAAACGGCTTTCACTTTTTTTTAGTGGCCCCACTCCCTACGAATGGTTTGAACCTTGACCTAAATCTTCCGGTTCGAAGGTCGGTCTTATTTCTTCGTCCTCTCCTCTTCACTTTCGGAGTGTTGCGCAACGGTGGCAGATGCTCTTGTTGCAGCGACATGCGTGTCAATTCTATTTCCTGCTTTCTTCGACGAAAGGCTCAAGTAAACGAGCTACGGAATACCCTCACAGTATGCGGTATGTACGCTCTATTTTTTGTCCGTTTCCAAAACCGCACGAGCAAACTGCAAAGAAAAAAACTGCGATCGGAAAGCCGAGTTAGACGCCTGCTCGGCCACCCTCGCAATTAATTTCTATTTGCTGTCTGTTCCCGGCAGACTGGAAAAAAAAAAAAGAAGGAAGCCAACTTGTTTGGGGCACCATACCGTCCCAGAATCTACCTGTTCGGTCGCTCGACAAGCTTCCAAATCCACAACAACTGATTTGGTCGTGGTCGGTACAATAACACGAAGCTGGGTCACTGGGTCCTGTTCCATAGGCCGCGACGCCACTGTTGTCGCGCTGCTCGAGTTTAATTTTGACGCGAAGTATGACAAAGAATTAGGACAAGAGCAACCCCAAACTTTCGTTCAAATTAACGAATCAAAGATGAATTGTGAATGACACACTTTAACCTACATGCTACCTAGAAAGCGCAGAAGCGGTCCGAGATCCTTGCCACTACGTCCCGACAAGGAGCCGCCGGATGGCGCCACTCTCGGGGCTTCTCGGGGCTAATACTTATGGCTCCCATCAACTTTGGGATAACCGGGCCCGACTCTACTTCTAACCTAAATAAATTGAGGCTCAACAAACTGTCATCGCACCTCAAATACTTCTTAAAGGTAGCTTTTACAACTCCAATACAAAGCACTTCAAGTACTCTTTTCTACAACCATCTTATTGTTTAAACAGATTCTGAAATCCACTGATTGCAAACTGGAGTGCAGTGCATTTCATCACTGCCTTTCTCTATAGTACACTTGGAACGCCTTCCTTATTACAACAAACTTTCATATTGATAAAGTCTTTCACCTGTCGTAAAAAAAGAATGTAGAATGCATACAATCAAAACTCGATCTAACAAAGCTGAGAGCAGCTGTGAATTACTTCGTTAGATCGAGGAGCTGCGGATTACTCGGTTAAGGGGGGACACTACCCAAAAAAGTGAATTTTTGAACCACTTCTCTGATTTAAACGACATTTACAGGGCTCGTTTCTGTTGATGTTGACAACATTTCTGCCAAATTTTGTTAACCTGGGTGAAGTACAAAAAAAAATGCAAATGTTTAAAGAAGAAAGTGGGCGTGTCTGCGTAGGAAAACTATCATTTTGAAAATATTTATAAATTTGTCGTTTTTATGTGTTATGTTGCTTTAGGACAGTCACAAGCAGATAGCTATGGAGCTATATTTCTGTATTATACTATCTTTCATGACAAAAAAGCCACATAAACTTAAATACTGTTTTTTGGATTTCCATTCTTTGTCCAAAATTTTCATTCTTGAGCATGAAAAATTACAAAAATAAAAAATACAAGCTCATAGCTATCTTCCCCTTTCAATTTCACTCTAGAAGAACTCATAAAAATAAATCCAAGTTACGTAATAACAAAACGATAGTTTTCCTAAAGTGAGATTTATGCCAAAAACTGGAACGGAGAAAAATGTGTTCAAATAGTTCCAACCCCTGCCTTTTCTTTAGCACGGAGGACTGAAAATAATGTATAAAAAATTAACTAAGCAGTGTAAACTAATGAAACTTTCTGGGAATACTCTCTAGGTGTTGCTGGATGTAAATAGGACATTTTTTTAAATCAACTTTTTTTGCCGAAATTGTGTTTTCTGGGTAGTGTCCCCCTTAAGTCAATACCCAACTGGTTCAACTCCCCATTCTTCATACTTAAATTGGGAACTTCGTTAAATTTAAAATGGCATTTTGCGGGCACTAAATTCAATAAACCTAGTTTTAGTGTAACAGTATCCCGAAAACTACCGCAATACCGCGTGGCCACAGTGCTCATGAGCCAAAAATGTGATTTACACACGTAAGCATTTAGTTCATGAAGGAGACCCCCCCACTGGTACGTGAAGGAAACTTTCACATACCAGTGGTTTTCTGAGTTCTCTTCGAAGAGAACACTTTTTTTACAGCCAAGCTGTTTATGGCTAGGGTTCCGTAGTTTTTTTTCTGTGCGAGACCGAAAACT